AGGATAAGCTCCTCCACTCAAGATTTTTAATTTAATCACATCGTTTGCCCTGTCAGATAACAGTCATAGGTTCCAGGGACTAGGACGTGGACAGATCCTTAGGAGGTGGGCACCATTCAGCCCACTACATCCTCTCACAGCAGATGTTTATTTACAGCAGTAGCTCTCAACCAGGGATGATCTTATGCCCCAGGGACATTTGGTAACTTCTGGTGACATTATGGTTGTCACACCTGACAGAAAGGGATGCAGCTAGCATCTTGTTAATAGACACTATGATGTTGCTGAATGCCCAACACTGCACAGGACAGCCCTGCGACAAAGAATTATCCAGTCGCCCACGCTCTGTTGCGCTCACCTTCTGAGACGGCCTGCCCTCTGCCTATGGAGCGCGTATCCACATTTACTTTAAACACCCCACACCTCTCTGTCTCTCTCCCTCTCACCTTTCTGAGGTGGCCCACATTCTGCCTATGGAGTGTGCATCTCCTAAGCCGTTTTCCCTTCTGAGAGAAAGACTGCACTCTGTCTATGGAATGTGTATCTCTCTAAATAAATTCACTTTCACTTAAAAAAAAAAACAACAAGAATTATCTGTGCCAAAGTGTCAACGTGTCATAGTTGAGAAATCCTGGTTTATAATAAGTTGTTATTCTATTATACTCAATCTAAGATGCCTCCACAGTCATCTCCATCTCTTTATCCAACTTTATTTTTCATTATAGCCTTTATTATATGTGATGCTAAGTACATCCTACTTGCTTTTATTTTATTCTCTCCTCTAGTCTATTCATTTGTTTGTTGTCTATCTCTCCCAACATGTCAGCTGAATGAGGGCAAAGATTTGTGTCTGTTTTGTTCACTGTTGTATCCTCAGCCCCTTGAACAATGCCCAGCACATAATAAACAATCTCTAAACATTTATTTAATGTATTTATTAGTTCATTAAGGTGCGGGTATTTCCTGAGATCTTACTGTACACCAGCCACAGTGCTGGGTTAGCTCAGTTTGATGCTCACAAAAAAGCCCTGCAAGGTAACAAGTATTAATCTCCTCCATTTTTTCTGATAAAGAAACTTAAGTGGTTAAGTAGCTTGCTGAAGATCACATAGCCCTTAACTGGTCAAGACAGGGCCCCTGCTCAGGTGTCCAACCCCCAAGTTTATTCTCTTGGAAAGGATGTGCCTATGATGTGCCAGGCAGGGTGCCAGGCCCTGGAACACAGAGATGAAGAAGACACAATCCCTGTCCCCAAGTCTCTAGTCCAGTGGGACAAACGGGCAAGTAAGCAAGTGGTTATGACACGAGTCACTGCAGAGGGCTCTGAGGGCTAACCCAACCTTGGGAAATCAGGGGATACTTCTTGGAAGAGGTGACATATCAGTCAAGTCCCAAGGGACCAGGATTCATTAGTCATGGGAGGTTCTAGGCTGGGGGGGGTGTGGGCAGCAGGTGCCAAGTTCCCAGTGAGGGACAGGACTGGAAGCTGAGAGGCAGAGCAGGGGCAGGGGGCGTGGAGAGGGAGCTATAAGAGCTGAGGCTCAGGAGTTGGCAGGGGTGGGGGGGAGCCCTTGCAGGGTTTCAAGCACTCTGACCTCAGGGCTGACCATGAACTGGAAGGTGCCACCACAGAGGTCCAGGAAGGGAAGCACAGAGGTCCAGGAAGGGAAGCACAGCTGTCTGGAAATTGCCCCGGGCTGTCATGTCCTCCCCTCTGCTCTGCCTCTGCTCACTCCACTTTCACTCAGCTCTATTTTTTGTTCCATGCACCTGTCCTCAAACCCAGGATCCCCTACAGGTACAGGGAGTTGGTTGGCCAGGCACAAGAGAGACTCAAATTGTCCTGCATGTGCAGCAGGCCTTGCATCGGCCTGGGAGATAAGCTTGCCCCACTGCGGGGGCGGCATCCTGGACATCGTTACAGAGTTGCAGTGAGGCTGCGTATATATGATGCTCACCAGTGACTGTATCACCTGTGCGCAATGTAGCAGAACAACGCTGGGTGTTACCAAGAAATGGGACCTGGAAATTAGAAGTTAGATCTGGTTTAGTTTTAGTTTTAGAAGGTGGGTTGGGGTCTAAGAGGTTTGGTGAACCCCACTTTAGGACCTCTCACAACCTGGCATCTTTCACCTGGCCTGGCAGAGGGCTGCCAGGAGGACCTGGGAGAAACCACATCCACCAGACATCCCCAGCCTGCCGACAGGACAGTCTCCACCTTTCTCATGTTCTCCAGTAGTGGCAGCTCAGTGTGTACAGTAAAAAGGCTCCTTTCAGCAGCCTCCAACTGAGGCATCTGCAGGGCCACTGCTGCCCTAGACTGGGGACAGGGTGAGGGGGGGGCAGGGGGTACTTGGCCCCAGGACTTTCCCTAGGCCTCCAGTTCCTGGCCCACACACACTTCGGGGGCGCAGACTGGACAACAAGGAAGAAACTGCACTTCTGTTCTCTTTGATGTGTTCCTCTTCTGCTTTTTTCCTGCCATCCACATTGTTTCCAGGACCTTTCCTATTATCCACCACCCCCGAAGGTCACCGGCGCATGTGTACACTCTCATTGCAAGGCTCAGCCCTCTAAGATGGCTTCTTGGCAAGGTCACATCTGCCACCCTAGTGACCTCACCAAGAGAGGACAGAGTTTGAATGTGACATGCACTTTGTCCCCACACCCTAGTGATCCTGAACTTCCACCGAGAAGCGGCAGAGGCAGCTGAGTCTGCATACCACCCTCTTGATTTTGTTATAAACCTAAAGCTGCTCTTAAAAAATAAATAAAATCTTTTAAAAATAAATAGACGAGGTCCTTGACCCAATGGAACTTCTCTACTGGAGGAGATAACCAGTAACTGAATGAGTCTCATGTGCTTGAAGACATTGAAAAAGGACAAGGTGGCAGAAAGAGGCTGCTGAAAATCCAGCAGGCAACCACTTAGATGGGATGATCAGGGAAGGTCTCCATGAAGAGGAGACATTCCAGCTGAAACCGAAATACGGGGAAGAGGCCAGTCATGCAAAGATCTGGAGGAAGAGAAGTTCTGGCAGAGGAAACAGTAGAGACCAAGGTCCAGAGGCAGGAAGGGAGCTCAGCACGGGAGGGGACAGGAGCAGGCCAGTGTGGCTGGATTTGAGTGGATGGAGGAGGCCAGGGGCCAGATCCCGTGGGGCTTGGAGATCAAGGTGAGGGCTGGCTCTTAATCCATGGGCACTGCTGCGCCCAGAGGAGGGGAGGGCTGAGGCTTCATTTTGATTTAGTCTGAGGTCAGTCTCCTTCAATCTCGACTCCCTTGTGGGCCCTCTATGGTGCCACAAGCTTCTGGAAGGTGCCCCCACTTCCTTCCCAACAATAGTGTTGCACAATCTGAATTGCATTTGAGAGCTTCCTCTGTCACTCAGGGGCCCAGGCAGTGGTTTACCCCTAGTTTAGTTACCATGAACCAGTCACCCCCCAGCCTCCCCTCCTCCCTACTCCACTGGGCCTCAGTGTGCATCCACTAAGTGGGTGGGTAGGACAAAATGTTGCATATATCCTTTCCAGTTCTATCATTCCAGAGTTGGATGGCGATTAGAAGAGGATGCAAGCAAAAGTAGGATTAGGGAGAAATGAAAGTGAAAGGTGGAAAATATTCCTCCAGCCTCCAGGAAAGCAGGCAGAGATTGGGGCAAGAGTAACGAGTGGGAGGAGAAGGGAGGGTTTTAGAAAGCTGAGCGGGCAGAGACCCTGTGACCCGGGCTTTCGTTTCTCCTAAACACTCCACGGCACCATGTGACGCAGCCCCGGCCACAGAGGCAGTGAAAGGGGAAGCTACGGACTCCCAGAGTTTCTCAAGAAGCAGAGAGCTGGACAGAGGCTGAGCCACAACCAAGAGCCAGAGGGACACCAGGGGCGGCAGAGGAGGCAGTCGCTGGAGAGGGAGGAGGTGGAGGAGGCAGCAGGGGGCAGAGGGAGCCCATGTGGCAGGACCCCTCTCCTCAGAGCCGGCCAGATGCCACCTGGGTTAAGAAAAGGCGACCAACCAGGGAGACCAACAGGAAAGGGGGGGAGGGGCAGAGAAGTGGGGAGAGGAAGGGTGAGCAGTGAGGACAGAGAGGAGCAGAAGACAGAGTCCGGGTGGAGGAAGGTGGAAGAGTTAGGGGTGGGAGGCAGGGAAAGGAGAGAGTTGAGAATTAGGGAGTGGGAGGTAGAATCTGGGTAGCATCCGAGGCCCGAGGGGCCGAGAAAGTCAGGGAGAGGGGGCAGGGGAGCAGAGGGGGAAAGGGACAAGAAGGGGGACTTAAGGGGTGAGAAGGGAGGGCGGCCAGTTGGGGGAGGGG